GGTTATGAGAGCTCGTGAGAGGTCGCGAGAGGTCGTGATAGGTGGTGAGAGGTCGTAAGGTGACGTGATGTATAGCAATGTGTATTGCAACTAATGTGGGTTTCCAAGAAAAGGATATCGCAAATTGCTAATCGAGATTTACCAACTACGCTAAAACTTGCGTCTATTAAGTAAGGATCTCTACTATAAATAAAATTCTAAATAAACACCTTTCTAAAGTCGTGTCCCCATTGGCTGATGCAATGGGCTTCGTCTATAACAAATCTATCAAGCAGTTTCCTTCGATTCAAGCTTTGCAAAGCGGATGCCAATTTTTCGCTGATGCTTAGCTTTTCAGGTGTGACGTAAAGTAGCTTGATTTCAGGCGATAAACGACGAAGGTCGACGTAAATTTGTGATTCCATCGCAGCTGTTTGGTCGCTTGACAGATGGGCAGCGGGAACCTGAAATTTCACAGGGAGAGACGGTAGAATATTCATGATGGCATCTTCAAAATCTTCCAAGTAAAAGCCAGGCTATAGATCTAAAGTGGGTGTAAAGTCCAATTCATAATTTTGTATTTCTTGAGTTGAAGTTAAAAAACAGGCTGAAATAATATGAAAGTAAAAAGTAAACAAACAATCTAAAATTCAAATGTTCTTGACAATTATATCCAGGGGCAGATACAGGGTGTCGCGCAAATCGCACAGAAGACTGTCAGATTTTCAAAATTGAGTTTTCAGTCGTTAGAATTAGGCAAGCATATTTACCATATCGTGTATCCTCGAATAAGCCCCCGGGGGCTTATTTGCAAAAATAAATTTACCGAGGTGGGGTTATTCGAGGGGGGGGGGGTATTCGAGGAGAGGGGCTTATTCGAGAGGGGGGCTTATTTCAAAGTTTAGTGTTTCCCTCAAAGGTCGACATTAAAAATGACATAATTTTCTCAATGAAACAAGCCGAAAAATTACAAAAACTGTGAAGATCTAACAAACAAATATTATAACTTTTTATCATCACAAAAGTTGCTTTTTTGCTTTTTGGTCTCCAGTCAAAGGAAGTAATACTGTATAGCTATTGTCCTGTGGAGGCTTTCTTGAAATAAGATATTATTCTGCGATTATGCCTCGCTCGAATAAGCCCCCATGGGGGCTTATTGGCAAAAATTATTTTTTTAGATGGGGGCTTATTCGAGGGGGGGGGCTTATTCGAGGGTGGGGCTTATTCGAGGATTCACGGTAATCATGTATTTTTCTCCCTACAGCTATACATTTCACTTCTATACCCAATAAACACAGGACCGACCTCGGTCGATCTTGCAACCAACCCTTTGATAAAAATCAAATCAACATAGAAGATATTGGTAAAGCACTATCATAGGCCGTGAACAGGATGATTTTTAAGCATGTCAACCGTGCCGCAAAAATATGCAGGGCTCTTTGTTATGCAAATAATCAACCAATTCGCACCAATCACGGTTGCAGTTTTTACATATTTGTGCGGCACGAAAAGTCTGTAAATACTATGTTAGATTACCGTGCCGCACAAATACTGGCATGGAAAGAAAGTGCATGAGATCGACAGATGTGAAGGAGAAGACTCCCGATTTCCTTTCCCTATATGGAAGCGGTATAGGGGGGTACACTTTTGGATCTGTTATAACTGGGTGTGGGTTTGTTGGAGAATCTAGCAAACCTCATAAAGACAGAAATGTTTGATGCACTAAACAATTTGGTCGTTTCAGAGCTGGCGAAAAGTTGCCCTAAGAGCTTCGCTGGTGTCGCAATCTCCACTTCCAAAGAAAAGGACGTCCGATTGAGACCTTTCATCGATCAAAGTGTATCAGCCAGACAGTATGTGAATTTCCTTCTATACTGCGTCATCTGTACACTTCATAATCTGTTCTTGCTTAGCGGGGCGAATCGCATTTCGAACCTAAACGCTTTAAAGGGGCTTAAAAATGCAATTAATATTTCAGATTAAAAGTCAAGTTTATTTTATTGAGTTAGGTGAAATAAGTTGCTTTTTTATTTTTTGTTGGTTGAAATAGTCGACATTGTAAAATTCCAGGGTTTTCACCTTTTAAGGTTTGAAATTGGGCCTAGTTGCTCCGGTCCCCTGGGCTGGGCCCCTCCCATAGCTCCGCCCTTGATCGTGAGAGAGCCTCACAAAACCATCTACTGAGTCTTTTTAATGTGCGACCGTCAATTTTTTCTGAATCTGCCCTTGATTATATCTCTAAATATGTTTGCAGTACATAATGTCAGCGGTAGAATACTGATAATATGCGCAACCGGCGGATCTTGTAATAGTTGGATTCAGAACATGTTTCGCTCCGTCACCGTCGTTTCATGGATAACTTTCAGACAGGTTTTGAAACTTTCTGAGTAACCAACTGGACTAAAGGTGATATTTTATTCTAACTATGTCAGCATAACAATAACAAACCTATGTGAAATTGGACTTACCTTTAAAGAAAGTAGTTTCTGAACTTGATCTAAAATCAAAGAGCGCAACGGCGAAACGATGATCGTAACGCCAGGCGTAACGAGCGCCGTCAGCTGATAGCAAAGACTCTTTCCTCCTCCCGTTGGCATTAGTATGAAACAATCTTTGTTTGCTAGTGCTGCCAGAATGGCTTGATGCTGGTTCGTTCGAAATTTATTCAAGCCAAACACTTTCTTGAAAATCTTCTTCATTTCCCCATAATAGGGACAATCTTCAGGCTTGTACTTCTCTAAAAAAGCAATTGTAGTTAAAAAAATAAAGACTGTGTTTTAAAGAAAAGTAGAAAATATTCCATTACGATACTTAAATGTTGTTTCGAAAGCTTGGAAAAATGGAATTAACGGAAATAATGGAATATTTCATTTCAAGCTTAGGAAAAATTACAGCTAAGACAACACCAATTTAACTTAAGGTCTCGTTCTGCAAATTTCTTCGAACTTCATTGTACAACTTTTTAAGCCCAGATTTCGTTTTATCACCACAATTTTAGGCCGGATACAATTTTTCATATTGTTTGTGCTTGAATTTTAGATTTTACGGAGAAATGAAGTTAGAAAAATTCTAAGGCAAACCCCTATAAAATTTCGTAATCAATCTCTATGTCGTCATAAAATCAATATTGTGAGCAAAAACGTAATGTAAACTTCCAAGTAGGCTACAATTTTTGTTCACAATCCGAATCTGGTGTCAAACATTGTGTACAAAAAAATGAAGAATTTTTTAAAATGAGGCTGCAAGTTGAATTGGTGTATTGATGCCCACTAAACTGAGAAATGAAAACAAACCTGGTGCTGGCTGTATCTGCTTCTGTTCACTTTTTTTCTGTTGCACCCTGCGACATTCCGCTTTGGTTTGTTTGGTTAAATTGAGCAACGGCTTCGTGCTAGTCGCATAAGTGTATCTGGCATCCGGCGCAGATGACGATGGCGAAGAACTACATTCATCAGGTAAATCAAAATCGTCAATGTTGAAGCTATCATCAAGAAAACAGCTCTCAAGGGCGTTATCACTGTTAGTTTTTGCTTGTTTCGCAGTCCTTTTATTTTCTGACATGGTAAATGCTGGCGTGCTGTAGAACGAAGGAGAAGAATTCCTGTCCTGTGTTGTGACATTACTGTATTGGGCGTTCAAGTTCTGTGCGTTTAGCCAGGGACTGTTTGAAGAACGATGTGACGTATTCGATTCACCGCTAGCCCCAGGCCATTTCGCGTCAGTAGAAAACACAGGTGAGCCATTATGAAAGAACCCATCGGCACAAGGTTGAGGCGAAGGGACGGTGCTTGCAGAAGGCGAAACACCTCTGCTCCAAGGCTGGCTCGAATTCCTTCCACTTGAATTTACCGTTCGCTTGCAAACTCGAGCAGCTGTAAGAAAAAGACTACCTATTTATGTTGCGACAAGAAGAAAATTTTCATGCACACTTTAAGCGTCTCATCGAGCAATTTAAACATAGTTTTGAGATTGTCATACGCTACAATTGACAGTAAATCACTCATTAAGCTACTGTCTACTCAAATATCACACATAAGCCTTTTTCGGCCTGTCGAAAGTAAAATTAAAATACAACGGTACCTTTGGCGTCTTCGTCAAAACTGGGCGTGTCTCTTTCGTCCTCAAAGATATTATCCTCTAGGTTTAGAAAACAAGAACTTTGTCGTCCATCGCCCAGAGAAGATGTTCGCTCGCCTTGTCCCTCAGAAGTTAGGTCAATATTTACACCCTTTGAATCTGAAACTTTGAACAATGATTTCATAAAATTAATAGTTGTTTTCCAGCCTGTCAATTGTTGATACTCCCAGACAAAATAGTTTTAAATTCTTGAGTTTTAAGTTGTATTATTGAGTTTTAAGTTGTAACCTTGAGGTTTAAATTGTAGCCTTGGGTTTTTGGTTGTAAACTTGAGTTTTAAGTTGTAAACTTGAGTTTTAAGTTGTAAACTTGAGTTTTAAGTTGTAAACTCGAGCTTTAAGTTGTATCCTTGAGTTTAAAGTTGCAACCTTGAGTTCTAAGTTGTAAACTTGAGTTTTAAGTTGTAATCTTGAGTTTTAAGTTGTAAACTTGAGTTTTAAGTTGTAAACTTGAGTTTTAAGTTGTAAACTCGAGCTTTAAGTTGTATCCTTTAGTTTAAAGTTGCAACCTTGAGTTCTAAGTTGTAAACTTGAGTTTTAAGTTGTAATTTTGAGTTTTAAGTTGTAACCTTGAGTTTTAAGTTGTAACCTTGAGTTTTAAGCTGTAACCTTGAGATTTAGGTTGTAACCTTGAGTTTTAAGCTGTAACCTTGAGATTTAGGTTGTAACCTTGAGTTTTAAGCTGTAACCTTGAGATTTAGGTTGTAACCTTGAGTTTTAAGCTGTAACCTTGAGATTTAGGTTGTAACCTTGAGTTTTAAGCTGTAACCTTGAGATTTAGGTTGTAACCTTGAGTTTTAAGCTGTAACCTTGAGATTTAGGTTGTAACCTTGAGTATTAAGGTGCACTTGGATTTCAAATTGCAAATCTTCGTTTTGAATTAACAGTTACCGTAACAGTAACAGTAAACGCAGCTTAGCGTTTCATGTTGTAACTGTGAGTAACACATTGTTAACTTTGATTTTAGCTTTGAGCATTGTATTGTAAATCTAAGTAACATATCGTTCACATATGTTATTCAAAAATGGTTCACATAAAATGGATCAAAATCTTTAGAACCAAGTACAAATTACAATGACTTGACGGGAAAAGAGCAGGTGTCATTTGATAGATTCAACTGATCGATAAATGATATTTGTTCATATTCACAACGGCATAGGTATCGCGAGGAAGTGAAAACAGCGGTGTTACACAGGTTACTTGCTTGTTTAAATGAAGTGAGGTTAAAGGCACTTTGTTCAGAGTTGACAATAGGCTATGCAGCGCGTTTAAAATCGAAGATAAACATCAGGGATTAGCCGATTAGCTCCGTAACAATAGGTCTATTGTATAGTCTAACCAATGGGAATTTAAATGGCCAGCGAAATGCGCTGAGACATAGTGCTTTTAATTCATGAAAAGTGGTAACATATCGCAACCTGTGGTACACAGGCTACTTGGCTGTTTTACTGCAGTGAAAATTACTGAAATGGACCATGGTTATAAATTATAACGTGTGATACACAGGTTACTTACATGTTTTACTGCAGTGAAAACTTTTGAAATGGAATAATACAGCCTATGTTACACAGGTTACCTGCCTGTTCTATTGTCTTGAAAATTACTGAAATGGACTGTGGTTATATAATGCGACCTGTGTTACACGGGTTACTTACCTGTTTTACTGCGGTTTACTTTTGACAATGTTCGAGCTGGATCGCTAGAAAAACAAGGCAATAAATTTATTAAAAATAACATTAAAATAAGCAAGTAAAGTTGGAACTAGCAAAGAGACGATTAATGTTTCAAGATGCTCCTTCAAACTCTCAATGACTGTGTTTTTTATTGGTATTTCTTACCATGGAAGACAATAAGCATGCTCCGTGTAAAGATGCAGGAATCAAATAGACATGCATTACCAAAATTGCTTTCTGCAATACCATGATAATAGCATAAATCTATTTTTGTTTGTGTGAATCGATAGCAATTTTTAATTAGCGCTTCGGTAGAAATCTATCTAAAAGCCATTTTACTCAAATTAATAGCTGCAAAATATAGCTAGTAATAAAATTGTTTGTGCTGGCCAAGAAATAAATGATGGTATGCATAACAATTAAATCGAAAGGTCTAACACATTAAATCAAGTTTATTTCAAATATGGGGAACCGCAATTTTTTAATTCAGGTCATCCCCCCCCCCCCCACAAATTTGAAACTCAAGTTGCGTCCTATTCCTTGTATAACAAGAGAGCTGAAATAGACCATCTCGGAGTTCGCGATGCAATGATGGAATTCTATTGTTCGATAACAAAATCCAATCCGATGAAGCAAACTGGGGAGCCATACATGGTGCTCTTCCATGAGGGACAGTGGGGGTCATTCATAGAGGCCGCTCTTCTTTTTTTGGCCGTGAAACCTCTTTACAATGGAGAAAAAAAGGTTAGAATGGAAATCTGAATTTTATTGATTAGCAATGGACCTTGATTTTTCTTGAATATTGATAAAGTAGGGGAGTACTTTATCTCATTTGGAATTGAGTTCCATTTTTGGCTACATCTGTATGATACGGTATTAAATCCATATATTTTGTAATGTGTTCTCCGAGATGGTCTATAGATAGGCAGTTAGGTATAAAAACTGACCTTTTCTTTAAAGTGCCATTGGATGTAAAAGAATTCGTGCCTGGGCGTCCAAATGAAAGCTTTTGCTGCCTAAAAGCCACACAAAATCGCAGTATTAGACCCTATAAATCTTCGAAGTTTGCGAAGGGCCAGTAACAGATTCTATATGGCCAAGAGACTACTAACATGATGACATCACAAAATTCTATCTTTAAAATTTTTTAATTTGCCAGCAGGTTTTTCTAATAATTGAAAACTCAATGCGACATAAGTGAGATTGGCAAGATTGAGTTGGTCATCCTGAAATGGACAATAATGATATTATTTGGATAATCGTTCTATTATCATGAATTATTGGTTCCGAATTGGACAATGACTTATGATCGGATAATCGTTCTTGCAAGATCGTCTCATATTTTCTTTAAAACTCATCTTATAACTTTTATAATCTTTCTGAATAGTACTCTATAGAAGAACAAGAAAATTTCACCTTGGGTTTCCAGTAGAATTTTTTCTCGGCTTTTGCATACCGAAATGAAAAGGACCACTTGATGTTGTTGATTTGCAATCATTCTTGGCTGGAAAGCTTCTTGTAGAAATGGTAGAGCTTGGAAAAATTCCCGGAACATTTGTTTGCCTAGTGCACTGCGAGGATAGAAAATAGCACATCGGTAAAGGATTAAGCACAAGACAGTATTGCTAAGCGGGGCTCAGAAATGTTTGGGAGACGAACGAGCGAAAATCTTCAAATGTGTGCGGCAAACCTCCGTCCTTTCGGCTATTTTAGGCAAGAATGCGTGCAAATGCCTTGGTTCACGGTATTAGAATTATCAAAACATTTAAAATGAAAAAGAATGAACTGAAAAAGACTATTGCAGGTATTAGAACATTAGAATAAAGATAATAAAATATCAGGAATGAAAATAAATAGATATCAGAAAAAACATATTGAAATAAAAGGCATACTTTTGAAGGAGAAGCCACATCAACAGTCTGAAAGCTGCCTCCAGTCTTGTAAAACCTAAACTGTCTAGAAAAACAGAACTTCGTTACTATGAATTTAACACTTTATATTAAAGGTAATAGTTTTAGGTAGGGAAACAAACAAAAGAGCAAAAAGCTGTATTTATCGAGAAAAACTCTAGTGACCAGTCCGGCTTTTAAACCATCTTTTAAGCTATCCAGTCCGGCTAGTGACCAGTCCGGCTGGTGATCAGTCCGGCTAGTGACCAGTCCGGCTTGCTGTTAGTCGCGTTATCAAAAGCGTTGTCTCGAAACGCTTCAATCTTGTCCATATCAATCTAGAAAATCGATAGTTGAATATGCTGCTGCAATCTAAATAACTTTTTCCTATCATGATCTTCACAACGATTTCCATGTTGTGGTGCACTCAGATGGTGCACTCAGATGGTGCACTCAGATGGTGCACTCAGATGGTGCACTCAGATGGTGCACACAGATGGTGCATATGTTAAACTAAAAGGTTTCAACAACGATTCTACCGGGATAAAAATTGCAAGAAACTCCCGGATGGCCATTACACTAAACAAGTACAATAACAGGAGAACAAAATACAGGATACAAAAGGCAAAAGTGCACTTTATTTTCCCAGGAGAACCACTCTACTCAGAGTGCGGGACTCAGCACAGTCCAGAAAACGAAAACATCTTAAAATTTCTACGAAAATAGTATATCTTGAAATAATCAGAATCGGCTCCTCAATTATACAAGAACAAATTATTATCAACACAAATATTAAAAAAACTAAAAAGGCCATACAACGATAAAATATCTGACTCGAAACGCCAAATAATTTAAAATTTCAAGGGAATAAAAATAAATTCAAAGTTTCAAGAGAATTAAAATGAATTCAGATTTTTAAGAAAATTGAAATAAAATGATATTTTCATGGGAATTAAGATGAATTGAAACTTTCAAGGGAATTGAAATAAAGTGAAATTTCAAGGGAAACAAAAGTCTAATCGAATGATCGAAAGTTGACGTTACCCAAACATTGCCTAAACATTTACAAAAGAAAAATGTATCTTTTATCTTTCTTCATAAGACAGTATTCAAAATATCAGGCAGACGCAACATCAGACTTTGAGTATATTCAATAAGACAGTATTCAAAATATCAGGAAGTCGCAATATCGGACGGTGTGTATATTCTATAAGACAGTATTTAAAATATCAGGCAGTCGCAATATCAGACTTTGTGTATATTCAATAAGACAGTATTCAAAATATCAGGCAGACGCAACATCAGACTTTGAGTATATTCAATAAGACAGTATTCAAAATATCAGGAAGTCGCAATATCGGACGGTGTGTATATTCTATAAGACAGTATTTAAAATATCAGGCAGTCGCAATATCAGACTTTGTGTATATTCAATAAGACAGTATTCAAAATATCAGGCAGACGCAACATCAGACTTTGAGTATATTCAATAAGACAGTATTCAAAATATCAGGAAGTCGCAATATCGGACGGTGTGTATATTCTATAAGACAGTATTTAAAATATCAGGCAGTCGCAATATTGGACTGTGTGTATATTCAACAAGACAGTATTTAAAATATCAGGCAGTTGCAATATCGGACTGTTTGTATATTCAATAAGACAGTATTTAAAATATCAGGCAGTTGCAATATCGGACTTTTTGTATATTCAACAAGACAGTATTTAAAATATCAGGCAGTTGCAATATCGGACTGTTTGTATATTCAATAAGACAGTATTCAAAATATCAGGAAGTCGCAATATCGGACGGTGTGTATATTCTATAAGACAGTATTTAAAATATCAGGCAGTCGCAATATTGGACTGTGTGTATATTCAACAAGACAGTATTTAAAATATCAGGCAGTTGCAATATCGGACTGTTTGTATATTCAATAAGACAGTATTTAAAATATCAGGCAGTTGCAATATCGGACTTTTTGTATATTCAATAAGACAGTATTCAAAATATCAGGCAGTCGCAATATCAGACTTTGTGTATATTCAATAAGACAGTATTTAAAATATCAGGCAGTCGCAATATTGGACTGTGTGTATATTCAATAAGACAGTATTTAAAATATCAGGCAGTTGCAATATCGGACTTTTTGTATATTCAATAAGACAGTATTCAAAATATCAGGCAGTTGCAATATCGGACTTTTTGTATATTCAATAAGACAGTATTCAAAATATCAGGCAGTCGCAATATCAGACTTTGTGTATATTCAATAAGACAGTATTTAAAATATCAGGCAGTCGCAATATCAGACTTTGTGTATATTCAATAAGACAGTATTTAAAATATCAGGCAGTCGCAATATTGGACTGTGTGTATATTCAATAAGACAGCATCTAAAATATCAGGCAGTCGCAATATCGGACTGTGTGTATATTCAATAAGACAGTATTTAAAATATCAGGCAGTCGCAATATCAGACTTTGTGTATATTCAATAAGACAGTATTTAAAATATCAGGCAGTCGCAATATCGGACTGCGTGTATATTCAATAAGACAGTATTTAAAATATCAGGCAGTTGCAATATCGGACTTTGTGTATATTTAATATAATTTTGTACTTACCTCTTCGTGCTATTTATACTTTGTTCGTCTTTACTTTCTTTTTCCATTTGTTCTTTCTCCTGTTTCTTGTTTTGCTTGATGGGCGAGCCAAACAAAGCAATGTCCTCGTCATCAAAAACACTCTCATCTTCCTAGCAGCCAAGAACCATAACAAGATAAAAAATAATTCACTTGAGGACAGTTTTCGGTGGAAGAAATGCTTAGAACATAAAAAACCAGCTCCCTAGTAGCGAAATTTTGTCTAAGAACTGAATTTAAAGCTTTATATGGGGATCAAAAGAAATCAATGAGACAAACTCAAAGATTCTTAATGAGAAATTGAAATACAATACAATATATCATAAATTTTGTGAAAACTTACAAAAAAATCATCCTCGTTAAATGCTGTTTCTTTCTGTCGATCTTCAAGAATATTTCCAGTGTCAATGTGACCTAAGATTCGTAAAATTTCATTTTAAGTTTGATAGTCAGACATTGGCTAGAGTAAAAACATGATTTTATCTTAAGAGTTCACAAAGATTTTATTTTTCATTTTATCTCTACAAAATCTCTTAGCTCATGCAATATTAATTAAATTATTGTCACAGTGACCCAAAAAAGGGGAGAGTTAAAATAACTTATTCAACAAATACTTTAATAAACACAAACGAAAAAAACTCAATAAAGACAGATACTTTAATCACTCACTCATTCACAACATACCAGACTTGTGACATGAACTAAAGTTTGGGAAAATGGGACAAAAATATGAAAAAAAAGTATTTTCCAGTTCAAAATGGTTTTTTAATTACCTTTCAATTTTTTAATACTAGGGATAACATACTTACTAAATAAATTTTCTTTACCAATTTCTGATTCTATTTCACTTTCGAACAAATCATCATCTAAATTGTCAAATGCTGCATCCTGTTTCCAGTCTTCTGCAGATATTTTCTGTTCACTTTGTCCATCAGATGTCAAGTCAATGCTAACCACTTTTGAATCTGAAACTATAACCAAGCTTTGTTATGTCACGATTTGTCGTTTGTCAATCACCGTTTCGGGGATGGCACCATAGAAGAAGAAGAATGTAAGGAAAAGTTTTTGGGCATATCACTATGAAACTAAAGGGTATTATCCAGTTGGTTGTGCCAAGCTACAGGGTAAGCACATATCAATCTAAATTTCACGAAAAAATAAAGAATATTTTTATGTTTACTGAAAAAAACATCTCACTTCACAGAGTATAAAACTTTGGATAACGATCAAAAGAGAATACGGCATGATTTGTGTGGATAAAAAATTACCTGGGTGAAGTAGAGTTGAGTCCTGGTAAGTCATACTTTCAAAGTAAGGGGAGTCTGAATTAGCAAATGTCCGACTTATAATATGGGGTTCGACTTTTGATATGAAAAAGGTTGGAAAATCCAATGGGAATTGAAAATCATTGCCAATGAATGAAAGTCCTAGGTATCCAGGGTATGGCTCATGACTCATGGGGTATGACAAGACTCGTGGGATTCAACTGTAATAGCACTGTTTGTTTGAATGCTATATTACAAAATACCTCTTAACAAAACACTTGCAAAAACATGTTAAAAAATTAACTTACCTGTTTCATTGCAGTTACCTTTTTGAAATGCTGGACTTGACTTGATGCGACTGCAAAGAATTTGAATGAAAAATCTTTGAGTACTTAAAGGCATTGAGTCATGATAAATAGACTGGGTATACCCTAAGTGCCAAAATCCACTGAGTCATGATTTTCATGACTGCGATGCTATTGGTTGACCTTCAACTGGTCACATGAACTCACCTCCTACTGATTGACAAAACAGTTTCCATCAATAGCAAGTTGTAAACAACAGATGCCAATATCACATGAAACAGCAGCGATCACGTCGAAACCAAATTACCCCCTATAGAGAAGGCCTATTTACCATGACTCAATGCCTTTAAGATCTTACAAAAGTCTTTAATGGCATACCATAACAAACAGGTTTTTTGGGCATATCCAACTGTTAAACCCCATGAAAAAACTAGTGGTACTAACAATAAATGAAATTGACCAAATTCTGCAGCTCATCACAAAGCATGCATGAGGTTCAGCCATTAAAAGGATATATATAATGGATAAGTAGAAATTTTGGGTTTACAAATTAAAAATACTTCTTGGATGATTGTTTTGTTTAGAGAAGTTGAGTAATGTTTAGATTCTAAATTAACAATTGTTTACAAATAATATCAATTTTAACTAACATAACATAACTAAAGTAATGATATGATGTGAAGAATTGGCTGCACAGAAGTCAAAACATGTTTAACTGCATGAGAAAGTAAATGAGAAATTATTTATCGAATAAGATGGAGCTCTAAATTTTAATAAATCTTTAAAGGAACAATGCAAATTTTACAACAAGTAATGAAAAAGTTATCTTTCATTTTATTGCTTAATTTGTATTCTTCAAATTGGATTTATTTGCATTGGTTTGATTCTCATCACATCATAAAAATATATTGTTAGAACAGCTTGATAGGGCCAGTACCGTTGGGGAAATAATTCAGACATTTTTTTGTAACAGAGCCACTATTAAAATTTTTCATTGCAATACCAGAAATCCTCAAATGTCATGACATTAAAATTTTTGAGGAAGAGACTGCCAAAGACAATAAAAGCATCAGTATTTTAGACTAAAATATACTTTGTAGTTTGACTGACTTTGATTTGATATCTTAAAAATAGTTTTTCCCCAAATTGTAAATATAATAAGATTGAAAACTGTGAAAAAGCTGTAAAATGAGCAATTGATATGGCACCTTGGAGATGATTTTTATAAACCCTTTTCTACAAGCAGCCTTTGTATTGGCCCCCTTTGAATAAGTCCCCATCTAAAACATCAACAACCTATAAGCCCCCAGGAGTTGATTTGAGGAAAGAATCCATTAGTCCATTTTTATATAGGCCCTCTATTCTAGAAAATTCTAGAAAATTTGCATTTTTTCTTTGAATTTGTCCATGGATTGACAAGATGCAATAGAATGACATTAGGGGGACAACTTTCAAAACGTCAAAAGGGTACCTTTGAGTAAAAGTGTTTCTCTTGCTTGATCCTTGCTTCTTTAGATGGAAAGCTCCATTTGCCTTGGATGGATTGCAACTGCTTCTTCCTGAAACATTCTTATTGACAATTGTAGAACTTGAATATAAGGAGCTTCCAACATTTGTTTTATTTGTGCCCTGTAAGAGTGAAAAAGAAAGAAGCTTACTACCATTGGAGCCAGGGAAAAAATGTTTAGCAAAATAAAATTACCTGTTTTTTTTATGCTACTTTTTCATTTGCCATTTAAATTTTTGAGTGATTCTTTTTCATTATTATTGGGTTCACTTGATAGCATGTTATTACAATGCAAGAGCCTTTAAACGGACACTGTTTTCACAATCATGAAAAGCCATGTCTTAGCAGGACAAGCATTTTAATAGAAATCAAGCATTCTAAAGTAGACAAATGATAATTTTTTATTGCAAACACACTTTTTTGCAAAGTCAATGAAGAATCGTGCATCTGGAAAAGCTCTGGTGGAGTACCATAAAAAGACAATAACAATAGGACCAGAAAGAATTGTTCCTTGAAAAGAAAGGATTTCTATTGTTTTTGGAAGGGCATACCCTTATGAACAACAGCAGCTATGGCCTTTAATGGTGTATGTTTCTGTATGGAGACAAGAATCCTAAGGAGATTGCATTGTGAAATACTTACAAGCTCCTGATTTTAAGAGTACTGGGGACAGCATTGGTTGACAAGTTACTGGGATCTTAAGTACATATAAAGATGTGCCATCGCAACTTGTTTTTAAGACCAATTTATTGGATAATTTGAGGTCCACCTTGTCACATTGAAATACAAGAAAAGTCTTACTTTTGCTGGAACTTCAACCGTGACACTCTCTTGTTTGCTTCCATTCTTGTAGAATTTGAATTTCCTAAAAATTGAAAAGTATTATTGTTAGAAGTCCCGGGTATGACCAAACTTTCACCTAGAGTGAGGAGAGTTGCAAGCTTTCTGTTACATCTGGTGTATGAATCACGAGGTGTGGTCACATCAAGAGGAAGGACCGGAACACTGCTTGATAAGCACAGCTTTTCAGTGTCCTTAAACTACCTTCAGATGCTAGGTAGCAAATACGAAATGTTAGCATTGATGACTGCTTGAATAAATTACCCATATCTGATTACTTATTTCAAAAAGATTTTGAGTAATAACAACAAAAAGTCACTAATATCTCTTGAATCAGAGGATGCTCTCTACTTAACTAGTTCATTTATTGAGAGAGCTCAGCCTTTGTGTAATTCTCAAATGCCAATCTCCTTATTAGTCATGTGCCACTGAAAGATGTATTTTTTGTAGTTTTAAGGCAAATGGAAACCTTTAATTTATTAGGAAAATTTGTTTGCTTGAATTTTAAAATTAAACAAATTGAAGAATATTTGTTCGAACACATTTAAAAGTATTTCAAAATACCAGCCTTTTTTACTTTAAGAAACATGTAAGACCAAGTAGGCTTGAAGTTTCTTAACATTTTGTTGATTTCAGCCCTAAAGGTTTCTTAAATATTACTAGATGGAGAAAGTCTGTACCTGTAACTTCCAGATTAAATTTCTGATTCTCTTCAAGCTCTCATCATGAAGACATGTCACACCTTAACAGATTCTACTTGTTCTATTCAAGATTCAATCTGTTCTTCAAAAGATTTTATTTGATGAAACTCTGTTTTTTCTCCCCTATCCCTCTACCTGAGCCTTGCAATGTTTCTTAGATTTTTCCTATTTTTTGGGGTATTTTAGTCTTGTGTTTTTATCTGTGTTTTTACTATTGATGTTTCTTCAAATCAAAAAGGATGTGTTTATGTCATATGATACACATTCATGAAATTATGACAACATAAATTAATCTTAATAAAGAAAAAAATCAACAAATATATAATTTTTATAAACAAGACTCATCCGAGCTGGACTCGTTAGTGTACTGGTAAAACCCAAGCCTCACATGGAGATCTTGAAAATTTGGCCTAAAGTCTATGATGCTGTCTATCACCAAATAAGTGCATAGTTCTAAACTAAATGTGTTAAGTCCCATAAACAGAATTAATTTATGGGTGGAAGAAATTATAATATAATGAAAGATATTTTTCATGAGCATATTAAAATTATTATCGGTCACTTTTAATACATAAACTTTTTCTTAATAATTCATAAACTTTTGTATTGGCTCAATCAAAGCCTGTGGCTGCTCGGATAAAAATAACGAGAACGGCCGGCCGTGGATCATTGGTCAACAGTTCCAATTTAAATTTCAGATTGAGCTATTTATAATATAAAATATGCCTATAAGTACCTTTTGCCTGATTTATTGTCCACACTCAAGTGACTGTTTGATCTCGGAGTGACAAAACTGAAAAATGTCTCCATGTTTATTTCCAATCATCTCAAGATGGCCACCCGCCAAAACGCAGACGAAAAAACCTTCAATTTGGAGCACTTTTATTCTTGGTTTCTTTCAAACATACGTTTATTCTATTAATTAATTAAATTTCTAAACTTGTTAAAATAGTTTTCCAACTATTGTGGTAGCGTAAAACCATTTACAATTTGTGTCTTTCAACAATTCACTGAGCCGTCTTCAGTGGGCCTAGATTCGTGTTTCCCGCCTCATCAAAGACTTGCTGTTGTTGTGGTTGTTGCAATTCTGAATATCTCTTTCCTGAATATCTATAAAAACTTTCTTTTTTGGATCGGTTTTTTCAACACTCTGGTAAACAATCAGCTAGTCAATTCTAGGCTCAAAGTGTGAAATTATAAACAAATCTTAAATGTTAGAAGGGCAGGAAAAGGGTAGTTTTTTGAAAAAAATCCTAGGTTTTCTAAAGAAGTGTTAGAAGAAACACCTAAAATAAGACTTTTTAAGGCAGGCCCACTCAGTGGCGACGCCAAGGGGTGGTATGGGGGGGTAATAGCCTCCCCACTTTTCTGAAAATATAGTCTATATATTTCTTCTAAAAATGGATTAAAAGCGCTGGGTGGGGGTAGATCACATTTCCCAAGGAAAGGGACGAATCACTGGAACGAGGCAAAAGGGGCGTGGTCACACTGATCCCACTCTGTAATTGCTGGCGCCGTTACTGGGCCCACTGACAGTGGTAATTAATTTAAAAGACTTAAATTTTGTTTTGCTTAATTCTTTGTTCATACAGAACACGGTTCATAGGAACATCGATGCTCGATTCGCAAAATGAAATAAACACGACGTACGTCGAACGACTTTAAGTGCCCAGCTCATTTGAAAAATTAAAAAAAACACCAATGTATTTCTGAATATTTATTCTCCTGCTAAATAAAGTAGATCTTTTGAGTTGATCACCATCTTGGTGCTACTAAAAATGGAATGCAGAATTGTTACTTAGGGGTCTTAAAAACAGTTTATAGAATGTTAAAGAAACAAGAACACGGTGCCTTGGTAAAAATTGTCTGCTTCTTTTGTGGGATTAAGTTGAAGTGTGATTTCCAAATTATGTTTCCTATTGTAAATGTTGAATTAGTTACATCGTTCTAATTTACCCTTTGGTCTAATTGACCCTTCTAGTAGGCTTAAATTACCTTTCTTTCTGTAGCTAATGGCTGCTATTTTATGAACGACTTTACCGACAAACCAGGGAACTTTTGCACCAATTAACAATTTCCCCACATGCTCATGAAAAATTTGGGGTGTCACATCCCAACTAGCTACGCCCCTGCTTCCTCCGAATGAAATTTTATCTAATTTGTTTTCCTCAAAACTTTGCTTTTATCTTTTAAATAAAATCTTCTTAGAACTTCTTACTCTCGCCGGAGCAAAGAAAAGTGCAAGCACAGGGGCAAATTCCTGTAACTTTATCGACTCTTGTCTACAATCCCGGACAAAAATGGTTGAGACTTTTCAAGAAAAGCTTATATTCTCACTTTCCTTTCAAAAATAACTTCCCCCCCTCCCCCAATTCAATGTTGAATGCATGATTTTTAAGGACAAATGGTAGAACTACAAATCCAACATTGATACGGGGGAAAGGGGGATTTGAATTTATAGGGGCGATGTAAAGTAGTAAATTGCAGAAATTGCATTTTGTCTCAACAATTTTGTCCAGGATTGTAGGTATGAATTGGCCTTTCTCAAAACTACAGCATCGTTGGGGTACCTTCCTCCAGCTCAAAGTTGCGGAACGGTAATGTTCTCTGGACACTGGTTTGTGCTTCGAGAAAGGAAGAATTCACTCAAATAGAACAGAGAAGGTACTATACTAATTCCAGTCATTGAAACACATAAATAAGAGAGTTAGCATTGACAATTCAATACAGTTCTTACAAACCTCAAAGGAAGATTGTAAATACAGAAATTACAAAAAAATTATTAAACCACGATCAATATATACTTAAACCTGAAGTCGAAAACATAAGCCTGGGTAAGCGTGCAGTTTCAACATTTTAATTAAAGGTGCCTCGATTCAAAATCAAAATAAAATGGCGATTTTGAAATGCAATGTGATTTCAATATACGATAAATGTATTGTGTATATTTTTTACATCATGCATTTAATCTGTATTTTGAAATGTATTTTGCAGAAGGTATTTTGATAACGTATTAACGTGTGTCATAATTCACTTCGTTGCATCAAAGGCAGTGTGAATGTAGTTTGCAGCTTAATACACGATACCTACAACTGCAGGTGCAATGTTGTCGCGAATTTAGCTGTTCTTTTATTTGATTGGACTAGACCAAACTGCTTATACCTTGATTGGCTTACACCAAGCTATATCTTCCCTGGAAGTATGATGCTGCTAGCATACTAGAATGCTACACACACACACACTGCCTTTAACACGTGGCGGCATTGGGTCGACTTGATTTAAAGAGTCACGATGTTTATGAGTAAATACATTATTTCTATTCAAACTTTGAGAATCAATCTCAATGTTAACTGTTAGTATTTTTTAGGTAAAAAGCCCTGGCTGCAACGTAAAAGTACATTTGATTGTACTGCAGCAACGCTTAAATCTTTACAACCTGACATCAAGCAGGACAGAGCTGTGAAGCATCGATATCACAATCTAGTTAAGGCCATATTCTAATGGCAATCGTTAGATACAAAAGTGGCTTAAGACACCTGTCAATTAAAAATTGGCCAATCAAAAAGCGCTTGGATGGTAAAACGCTTCTAGATTGGCCAATTGTTGATTGGCAGATGACGTAAGCTTCGACCAGTTGTATTTAGGGGTAGACTCATTTTAAGCTTATACTTGCTACTTCATAATCTGATTAGGTACTAAACTTTTGCGCCATAATAAAGTCGTGATGAAAAAAGCCACGTAATAAAGCCCTATTGATTATAAGCGATTCGCTGCTATCCTTTGTTCCTATCGATAAAAAATTGTTTCCTGGCTTTATTACTTATAATAAATACTAGGTAAAAAAAGTATTTTCTGCTTCAAAAACTGTTGGTGTGAACGATATGTTTGCATTTAGGGCCTCTGAAATTTTCTACTAGATGACATAGCCATGATAATATGCACGAACCATGCGAAAGTATGTAGAGTCTGGTATAAAAAAGGGAATACGGCGATTAGGCTACACGGCCTCATTGGTATAAGCCTTCGATTTCGTCCTTGTACTTCTTGTAAACATGCGGTCTTCTCAATTTAAGTGTTGGTCCTGCAAAAAAGGATTTTGTTTAGTTGGGGAATTAGCAGAAAAAGAGAAAAGCATATATGAAATTGAGATCAAATCTGGGGTGAATAAATTTGAGAAGGTATCGGGGATTAGAATCTTAAATGAAAAATTTGAGATGAAAAGCTGAGACGAAAATTTGAAATGAAAAGCTGAAATGAAAAGCTGAGATGAAAAGACAAAATTTTAAATGGAAAATTGAGATGAAAATTTGAGATGAAAAAATGAGGTGAATCAATCCATAAGGGTATCGGGGAATAAAATCTTAAATGAAAAATTTGAAATGAAAAGCTGAAATGAAAAGCTGAGATGAAAAGACAAAATTTTAAATGGAAAATTGAGATGAAAATTTGAGATGAAAAAATGAGGTGAATCAATTCATAAGGGTATCGGGGAATAAAATCTTAAATGAAAAATTTGAGATGAAAAGCTGGGATGAAAATTCGAAATGAAAATTTGAGATGAAAATTTGAGATGGAGATTTGAGATGGAGTTAATCTGGTTATAATAATGCTGAATTCTGCAGCTGTACTTCACTCAACTCAAAAGTTGATTGAGCTATCTAGAAATGTCGATCGACGATCTTTGACACACAGGAGAAAGATTCGAGAAACAAGAAAAGACATCTAGTCAAAAGGAAAAATTTGAAACAATTATCAATTACTTTTATCTAAAACCTTTTATCACTACAAACGTAAAAACTCACCAAGTTCTCCACCAGGAATTGAAAAATCAGTGGCTAAAAGATGATATTTCTGGACCTGTTATAGAAAATATACAGCCGTTAAAACAAAACTCGTCCCCATTCAAAATAGAAATTATTAGCCCATTACTCAATGTATATATATACTTATTTATATTGTTTGTCATCTTCATAATAAAGAATATATTGGATTTGGCACGAACAGGTGTTGTGAATGGAAATGTTAATAAGCCTAATTCTGAGGCATGGATTTCGATAAAGTTGCAGAAGTCACAAACGAAATAATAAATATCCCAAAAGAAGCTGAAACTCACTTTGGCTGCGTTTGACACCGCGTTAGCATTGGCTTTTGTTATTCCAGCTTTTATTGCTTCATCCAAAGCTTGTGGTGGGCTCGGAGCAATCTCATCTACCTTGGTCACATCAATACCCAAAGACTTGCAGAATGTTACAGATTGACTAGCTAGTGCCTCCAACGCATCGCCTGAATCAGGACACATCTCCACCTGCCATGAAAACGAGGAAATATAAGGCACTGACAAAATGATGGAACGGAGGGCTGGAACGATCGTTATCTGCTTGGAGTTGTCTAGTTTCCATACTGCTCGACCTGATGACCCTAACCCTAACCCTAACCCTAACTCTTTACTTGAAATAATTAATCATGCTAATTTATGACTATTTATCATGCTTATTTATGATTATCAGATCGAGCAGTATGGAAACTAGACAATTCCCATCTGCTTAGGCCATCACATGATTCTTAGGGGATGTAGAGGATTTTGAGGGGATGTTTAAATGTCATTATCGAATGAAACAGTTCGGTACTGGACTGAATAATTCGAAGTTAGGATGGAGTTAGTTTGAATCGGAAAAAGAAGTTGTGAGACGAAGATGGCAGATTTAACTTTCGTTTACAAATGATTTGCGTTTCCTAGAAACTTTCGCCTCAGCATCGGTGTTTGAATCGGTGAAAGCTTAAAGCTGTTTCGATCAACGAATTTTGGAGAACGAAGGTGAGCAACTCTTACTTTAATGAGATATTGGAACCATCGGATTTTTTAATCTTTTTAACTAACATGAATTCATATAACACAAGAAGTTTAGCCTAGTAGGCAAACCTTTGGGGTAAGAAGAACCGAAAGGAATTTCCTCTTGTCTCCAATAACCATTGCATTGCTGATGAAGGGCAGCTCCGCTTTTATGCGCTCTTCAATTGGCACCGGGGCGATGTTTTCACCACCAGCAGTAATTATGAGTTCTATGGCGAGAATTTTACAATGAAAACCACGAAAAGACAAAAACAAAAACAGCAACAACATAAACAGCAACAACAACACAAAACAGCAACAACAACATCAACAACAGCATCAACAACAGACGCAGCAATTACAGCAACAATAACATTAAAAATAGCATTTCGTTTTGTTGTTAGCTGCTAAACATTTAATTCAAAGTGCATAAAATAATTAACTAAAAGTAAGACTACATTACGCCTCTGAAACTCAAGTGTAGAGCAGTGGAAGCGCAAAATTCTCCAAGAGTAAACAGTGAACTAGTGCCTAGCGACTGTGTCAAAGGGATCATCAGAATTGTTAGTAGAATAGTGAACAATCTGAGCCAAAAACAAGCGATCTTTGAATGACGTTTGAGTCGTTAGGCCAATAAATTAGTGTAGCTATCTAGTAGCCTTTAAGGCAATCGAAAGAACTATAGCGGCTTTAGCTATCTGTCAGTGAACAATTGACCAATCAAAAAACGCGATACCTCTCACATGCTTCTGGATTGGCCAAAAGTTGATTGGTTAGAATACTTAAAGGCATTGAGTCATGATAAAATGGATTGGGTATACCCTAAGTGCCAAAATCCGCTGAGTCATGATTTTCATGACTGCGATGTTATTGGTTGACCTTGAACTGGTCACATGAACTCACCTCGTACTGATTAACATAACAGTTTCCATCAATAGTAAGTTGTCAACAACGGATGCAAATTTCACATGAAACAGCAGCGATCACGCCGAATCCAAATGACCCCCTATAGAGAAAGCCTATTTACCATGACTCAATGCCTTTAAGTATCGTCGATTGCCTTTAATACATGTTTTAAAAGTAAATTTTTGCAATAAAGAGCTGCCGGTTCAAGTGAAATGTTATTGCGAGATACAGTTATATGCAAAAGACAGTATCTTATATCAGGCAATAAACTTCACTGGCATTTGATTGTATTTTGAGATTAATCAAGACAGGGCACTACCCATTCCTGAACATAGCACAAATATAACAGTTCACGAAATAGACTTGTACCTTTTATTCTTCCTGTGATGAACATAAACCCGTCCTGCAAATACAAAACGGAAATCTGATCGAGAAAAGCTCAAAGTTGGAAATTAGAGGTTTTATGGGGGGGGGGGAGCTTGAAGTTCGATAACAGAGGTTTATGGGGGGAAAAGCCAAGGATGTAAGTGTGAGTGCTAGGGCATCAAACGGAGTGAACAAATTTCGAGCGAAGGACACATTTTAAGGTAGCACGTGTGTATCAAATGAAGTAAACAAATCTCGAATACGGGGCTCCTGTGAGAATTGTCCCTATATTGCTACCGTTTACAAGAAGGAAATTTACGGCAGCATCCACTGTTGCAGATTTTTGGGTCAGAGTTCAGGGTCAGAGCTTTTTGGGTGAGCAACACAAAGAAACTAAAGCGCTGCACATTAACCCTGGTTTTTTAATATTTTTCTAAGGAAGGATCTTAGAGCTTGAAGACGAGTGTGTTCCCAATAGGATATTGGACATAATATTGGACTGGACCTTATATTGAGTCAGAAAGTACCATATTAACTACAGTGGACCTTATATTGAGTCAGAAAGTACCATATTAACTACAGTACGGTGTAGCCAAAAACAACTTTAGAAGCTGATTCCAAATCATTTTCTGGGATTAGTAAAAAATCATAAATTTGAGGACACAAAATGTTCCGAATGCTGGCGATAATAAGCTTTGCCATTAATAACCTAAACATCCAATACAAATAGGGACAGCGGACCAAATAATGGATGAAGGGGCGAGGAAGTCTTTTTAGGGGCCAAATGCCAAAAGCAAGATTATTTTTGCATTGGTTAGAGCAAATTTTGGAGGGCTTAAGTCTCTTTTCTCTCCCCGCTTCCGCAGTCTCTGATGGACAGGGTCCGATCCCTTTAACAATACAATATGCATTACACGGTATCAGGTTAAGATTCATGCATTCATGCTTCAGCTTCTTGCAACAATCAATAATTTACCTTGTCAAATTTACCGACGTCTCCAGAGTGCAACCAGCCTTCGCTGTCAATTGACTCTTCAGTCTTTTCCTTGTTACCCAAATACCCCATAAAAATGCCTCTTCCACGCATACAGATCTAAAGGAAAAAGCAATCAAGTGTGTAAGCGATTTGCATTGTGCAAAGAACTTCGTAAATTTATCGACTTATGCTACAAAACTAGGAATAAAAAATCAGTGCAATGACAGGATAGTTCTTCGGGGCCAGCAACTCATGAAAAGATCAAACAAAGCTTTATAATGGCGTTGATAAAAGCAAACATTGAAAAAAAGCTTTTGTCCAACAGTTCTCTGATTATAAAACGTCACAGTTATGACCGAAATTCTAAAATCTAAGCTTGGGAATACACATCTAGTTGTGGAACGAGTTAGGCCTATCAGAGACGCGAGCACGTGACTTAAAAGGCAGGCCAATCAGTACCGCTCAGGGGCGGATCCAGGATTTTTGGTGACTATAGCTCAAATCTTTTGGGATCGGAACCACGCCCTCCTTGCTTGCGGGACACGCCCACTATATGGGCAAATGATAAACCATGTCTGTTTATAGTTGCTTCGTATTCATAAATATTCCTTCGAACATCCTTTTTCTATTTCCGGGGGGCCAGAGAAGAGGGTGTGGGGGTACAACCGCCCCTGTTGCCCTTTGGCAGAAGGGGCAAGGGTTGTTTTTAATAAAGTTCCCTTGAAACTGGCCAATTGTAATAATCAGAGAGATTCGTATGAAATTCTGAACTTCTCAAAACATGTAAAATAATTCCTTGTGCCGAAAGTTAGCCAATGTTGAAGATACCTACAGATAATAAAATTGCAGTTACGTATGAATTTGTAGAAGCTGAGAATTATCTTTCAAAAGCCTTTTTACTCAAGCCTGCCCCCCCCCTTGCCGCTTGGTCGTTCCGCCGTCCCTGTCTATTCCCTAGTAGGTCCTTGCCTTTGAAGCTACATTACAGGGGACCCAGGATGTGAAAACGAGCAATAGTCTACTGTTGCTTTACAGGGGACAGAGAGCGGAGAAATACCGTGGATACTCATATTCTATTGGTTAAAAGGCCATTTTCAAACCTTACTATAGCTTGACTATAGCTCGCGCCAAAAATTATAGTACGGGTTTCATTGTCTTCGATGCCTTTTCCAGAGCAAATCCCCAGACCGACTATAGCTCGGAATATCCACTGTAGCTCAATTCTGGTTGGTTACTGTCAACAAAGAACGAAACTTCTGATTCGTCTAAGTTTCAATATTAGACCATTCTGCGCTCAGTGTTTTATATCTTACCTGGAGAGGCATTGTGATGACACATTGCCAGCAGTGCATGTTTGTTAATCGCATTTGATAACCTATACCGCTGCTTTCAAATGTGAATTCCGAAAATCAAACACTGAGATTTCGACTATAGCTCGAGCTACAGTTGCTATAGTCTGGATCCGCTCCTGCCGCTTGCCAATTGGAAATATTACCAATGGAGTCCTAATGTCAAAGGGTATATGTCGCATTAGCAGTTGGCTAATAAAACAAACGCGTTTGGAGTGGAATTCCATTGTTTCGTGACTTTTCATTTCTTCTTAATTAATTTTTACTGCCGTAAAAATGGGGTGGGGTGAGACACCCCTTTTGGAAAAAAGCTTCATTGTAAAACGAGGTGTTTTCTGCCATCTAGGGGCGCTTCGTCGGCAAATAAAGGATGGTTCACCAAACTTTGTCAGCAAATGGAAACGGAGCACCCCCCCTCCCCTCCCCGCTTGGCCAAAATAGCTAGCGACGGCCCTGGACGGGGTAGCTTGGTTAGTGAGGCAAACGACGTACTGAGTGGCTGATCCCAGGTTGAGCCCTGCCCTGGTCGCGGGTTTGAGCCCTGCCCTGGTCACTGGACGTGTTCATTTGCTCACATTCCATCTATATAAATGATTCTATATGTAATGAAGAGAGTTGCCCCACCTCTCCACTTCCATCTTCATCTTCATTGAATATTTTCATCTCCATCTGCTTAATAGCTCTGCCTACTGCCGTTGTTTTAGCCAGTTTTGGCACTGATAATGTGGCGAGACCAGTGCATTCGCTCATACCGTACAGTTCAAGCAATGGAATGTTGATGCTCTGGAAATACCTCAAAGTTTCAAGGGAAACTGGTGCCGCACCAGTGTAGATGAGGCGACAACGGTCTAGGCCGAGTTGCACACGGATCTGAAAATTAAAAACAAAAATTGATAGAAAGCTCAAAGACATTAGTTTCTCCTTGCTTCAGAAATATCGAATAGCTACAGCAATTCATACATTACGGCGACAAAAAGAGAAATTTTGTAACATTTTTTCAACTTTTGTTTCAATAAACTAATCAAGCTATCGACACCCTTGGTAAGACGTGTGATACTCACGTGAAGAAACAAGTACACTAAAAAATTCCAGTTGACAAAATCAGTGCAATAGAGTCTCGAAGTGTGACGTCATCAACAATCTATTTTTAGAATTTCCTAAATTTGTTCTCTTAATTTGAAAGAACATCATAAAATACCTCTCAGTATGCAAAATCAGTTGGATATGTTCAACATTTGGCGAGATGTGGCCAATGAAAGATTTTAGGTTGGCTAACAGATCACTGTTATTCTGGCCTGGTTCATAAGTTATCAACCAAGACCAAAAAACAGAGCTTTGATGGGCCAGAGAGGTTTGATGGGCAAATTAAAGAGCCTGTGTCCATGTGGCCACATCTCAGTCAATTCGTAACACATTAATCTTTTTTTACATTTAGCGGCATTTCATAATGCTCTTTTGGGATATACGGTCAAAATTGTAAAATTCTAAACCAGTAATTTAAAAACGTTTCGACTCCAGCTAGAGTCATCTTCAGCCATCAACTAGCTTCAGTCGACTTGATCAATTATAATAGATCTTTCAACAATCATTGAGATCACAACCACTGTTGTCATAACTATGTATGATAATTATCATAATTATCATAATCACCATAATCACCATAGTAATGATTATCATAAATTAGCATATTTGCAAAATATCACACCTTCTTCAGTACTGCACTTGCAATCGAAAATCCAAATGGAGTAGAATGCCTTCAAACAAAAAGAGGAAGACCTTTAGCTTAGAGGAAAAAATGAAAAGCACGAAGACTGCAAATAAAGATCAAAGATTTCATCGCGAGTCTTCGGCTTTAAAAGCATTGAGTCATGATAAAATGGATTGGGTATACCCTAAGTGCCAAAATCCGCTGAGTCATGATTTTCATGACTGCGATGCTATTGGTTGACCTTGAACTGGTCACATGAACTCACCTCGTACTGATTGACAAAACAATTTTCATCAATAGCAAGATGTTAACAACGGATGCAAATATCACATGAAACAGCAGCGATCACGCCGAAACCAAATAACCCTCTTTAGAGAAGGCCTATTTACTATGAGTCAATACCTTTAATGCCTGTAGTGGTCCAATTGGTATGGAATATTAGCCAATCAACAGGCGTGTGTGTGGTATCATGCTCACTGATTGGTCACTTTTTAAATGGCTTGAGACACTTGAGTAATAGAAAGGCGTCATTTGCATCTGTTTACGACTAGTCGTCAGAGGCGGCGACACGGGACGTACCCCTCTGTTCTCAGCAGGGTCAATAATGCATTTCTTCTAAATTCGATGAGAAAATGTCGCGGGAGGGGTAATATTTTTGCAACGTACTTTTTGTGATGTAATCCTATGATTTTCAAACTGCCTTTACGTAGCTGAAAGTTAGAAATGGGCGTTCCCTTTAGGTGAAATAGGCGTTCCATTCGGGTAAAAAGGCGTTTTCTGGTAGCAAAAAGGGTGTGGCCCAAAAGTTTTTGTTTTGTCCCCCCCCCCCCCAGAGCTTAGTAGCTGGCGCCGCCATTGCCGGCCATTGAAAGAACTTGTTTTTGAATCAGTACAAGCTGTGAATCTCTTTCACCGTTCGCAGAGTAAACCCAAAAACAATCAATCATAGATGACTGTATCTTTCTTCAATCAGATCACAATCGTCCTTTATTTCACTTCATCACAAATCGGTACCTATCCCTATGTCACTCGAAAAGAAAATGTTCGAAGCATGGCATCGTTTAACCAACAGAGCGAGTCACAAGATTTAGCTATGCGTTATTTACTGAAATTTCCCCAGGATTTCCCACCTGCGCATCACGACTCAGCGTCTTTTGACAACTCTCTTCAAGCCCGACTCGATGCCTTTAAGGCAAAGAATAGTATCAAAAACTTCCTTGAAATACTTCTGCATCCTTGTTTCCCTGTTAGTTTTGTTACCGTACAATTCCTCATATTTCTTCAAATATCGTATATACACTAAAGATGTAGCAAATATGAAACACCGCAATACGCCGAGAATAAGTAACAATACAAACACGTAAATCAGTAAAGGCTAATATTTCGCCCCGGCATACGGGCAAGATTCGCCGCAACAACTCCTTGGAGCCCGTCGAGCAGCCTGCTACAGTGGCCTTTTCTTCATTCACACTTGTCAGTCTTGTCTGCTCTTATCCTAAGACTGGAATCTTTACGACGAATTTTAAAAAAAACATTATTTCCGGATTAAAGATCTGGCTATAAGATAGTTACCCATTCTCTATGTTGATATTTCCTCTCAACGAAACGTCTTTTGCCCAATTTGCAACCTTTTTACGAAATCCAGTTATGTTCTGACCAATAGCTTTCATTCGTTCTTCTATTTTTTCGAAAACCCTGTAAATAAAGATGTGGACACAAGTGATTAAAAGTAAAATTACAGTATACGATATCAATAACAATAATAAAAGGGTCAAAGGCAAACAAGATTCAAAGATTACTCAAAATGAATATAAATTCTGATATCATGAGTAAACATTCCCATGTTTATTTTTCGGGGTTTTGTAAGACCCCCCCTCCCCATTTTTATTTCAACACTCCTGTTATAGCGACGAAGACATCTCACTAACAGTAAGAACTTATGGAGGTGATATTTCATTATCAATTTCAAAATGTTATGCATGTATGTCATTATGGCTCTTTCGCCTACTTGAACTGCTATTTGCCTAGTAAATAATCTACACATGTTATAAGTGATAAGCCCCCCTGCCCCTCCCCCCGTTTATAAATTTGAAATTGTGCATGACCCCTGATTATTTCAAAACCCCGCTCTCATTTTTCCCGATATCGGGGTAGTGTTGTGGTCAAAAACCTCATGCTTGAGCAGGAACTTGAGTTTTGAGGGAAGGTTTCAGTCAATCGTTCCAGTAAAAAGGCATAAAAAACGATTCTAAGGCAACACACCGATAAAAATTGCGCGAAATAGAGATAAAGATTTTTAAAAAGTGAATTGAAATTATCCACTGAAGAAGGACACAGAATCGACAAACACTGAAAAAAACCATTCAATTGGTAGCTGGGTACAAAAACTCTACCTTGGCACTCCAAAAAATAATGTTGGTCTCACAGCTTTCAGAGTTGCCCCTAAACTTCCCTGAACAGATAAGAAATATATATTTCAAAAAGATTTCTGTCTAAGGAATATGATTATAAATTTAATACACCATCCCTTAATATTGCCTTGGTGAATAAGTCTAAGCATGGAATGAATTCAGTGAATTCTCAACAAAGAAACAAGATCAGATAGATCACATAGCATCTAAAATACTTGAAAATGTGCAAAATCAGTAAAATGTGTTAAAAGCAGGGTGAGGAATGGTCAAGTAAACACATAGCTTAAATCCTCGAAGAAGCCCCCCCCCCCCCTTCGAATAAGCCCCCACTTTAAAAATCATTTTTACAAATAAGCCCCACTCAAGCATACGTAATTGCAGAATAAAATCTTATTTCAAAAAAGCTTCCCTTGCAAAAAAGCTTCCCTTCCACTGCATTTTTGTAATTTTTCAATTTATTGAGAAATATTTCATTGAGAAAATTATGTTGCTCTTATGTCGACCTTTAAGGAAAATCCTAATTTTTGAAATAAGCCCCCCTCCCTCGAATAAGCCCCCCCCCTCGAATAAGCTCACACCCAAAAAACAATTTTTGCAAATAAGCCCCCGGGGGCTTATTCGAGGATTGGTTTTCAAACTCATGAATCAGGCAGAAAAATAGTAATCCATTAGGAAAATCAATTAATTTATTGGCTTTATTTCAGCCAATTTGCAACAGATGAAGGTGATTCTTCACATTTAAGGTATTTCATGATGTGCTATGAAGATATGTGATCAAAATGTGAAACTATGATGAAATTACTCTGATAATCTTTGTAAACTGCAAACTGCGAACCCAAGCCAAAATATCTCTAATTGGCCGGGGCAAATAATTTTTATAAAAGTTGAAAATGCATAAGTGACGAGTGCACACTGGTGCACGCAGATATTGCTTCGAGTTGAATGCCAGTGAATTGTGTGCCAATGACATTGTAAAGACAATAAAATATTGTAATGAATTTAAATATCAGAATGTCCTAAAGTATACCTTCAACGCGTCAGGTTTCGCAAACGCTGTGTATCCTTGAAGCAGGATCGGTCCATATAAATCTGACATCTGTTGGAGCAAAACAGGAAAATTTATAATCATAAACGCTGAATGCTTCAACTCACAACTCAAAAAGAAAGCATTTTCAATGAAGTTCCTTGGCGCACAAACCGAGTTATATCAAATATATGGAGTCTCTATTCGAAGCCGGCTTTATTCGAGGCGTTCATCTGAACATATTTTAACTCGAGTTAGAAAGTTGCCTTCTTAACAAACTGTCTGCCCCTAATTAAGTCACCAATCCCTTGATTATTTCACTTACTAGGCCCAGCGTGGGACGCCAAAAAGCAAAGAAATCGGACACAATACAGCTATTCCGACATCAGAATTGAATTCATAATGGCAAAAATGACCATTTTCACTAAAGATGAACTTAAATAATTAGCAGATTAAACTTGAACCAGAACAGTCAAAATTCTTGGCTTTTGTGTACTATCTGGGAATCTTTATGCAATTTAGAGGGTGTCAGGCTCAAACATTCCTGCGGCAGGAAATTATTGAACGTAAAAACTCGAAAACAATCTTTGGTGGTACAAAACTTACTCTGAAGAGTGGCAGATGAAAAGCTTTAGTATTTTTTTTCAAAATGTTTGCTTTTGTCAAAGTCATTTGTAAAAAACGTTTCTTAGTAATGGCATGGAGAAGAAATAGGAAGAAGTCAAAGTAAATTAGGAAATTGCTTCTTATGGCTCCTTAAAATATCAGTTAAGTCAACGGTGTTTTCATTCAAACCTACATGTTTTACCAACACACATCCATAGTTTTACAGCATAGAAATGTGAAAACAAGTGTGCAACAGGTTTAATGACGTCACTGTCTGCTCTGCCTCTGCTCTACTAGAGGTCAAATTGAAGCTGAACCAAGCGCCTCCCACTTCACCAGTATTTTCCTGTCTTAGAGCATTCGATGTTTGTGTATGGAGGAGAGGTGGGGGCTATCTTTGAGTATATTATTTCCGGGGCTATCTTTGACCAGCATTCTCCTGTCTATAGCAATCGATGTTTGTGGCTATCTTTGACTATATTATTTCCGTAAACTCTCGCAAAAGCTTACCAAATTATGGAGACTCGATTAATCTTTTCACAACCGTTTTTATACGAAAATAATACAGCAATAATTATAAAAAAAACCAAAACATATTGTTTATGTAACTGATAAACAGCACTGGACCCAGCACAGATCCTTGTGGAGTGAAATTGAGAATTGAAGAACCCATTGGTGGGAAATGGATAAAAAAGAATCAATCGATGGTAACTCGTGTTTTGAAGATCGGCTGAGTCATGATTCGAAGTCATGAACAAAAAATCATGATTATGATCATATGACAATTAGGGTGCATACCTGAGCTGCAATATGACTGAGAGGCAAGTAACTCACTCCGCACTGTTGAATCGACATGTCAAAACAGTGTATGATATTGTCAACTATGGAATAGGCACCATAGATCACCTGAAATGGCAGTAAAAATATCCATTTCTGATAAAGAGTATTAAAATCGTGGCCATTTTAAGAATACATTTAAAGGATAATGTTTGATCCAACAAACTATACGAACATAAAGCTGAAAATGATTTAATTTATCAAAAATTTCCTGACATATATCCACTAATTTTTAAGATTCGTCATCAAAGCTCTAGGGAAGTTAATCTCCATTTTACACATTAGACAAAATTTCACAATTTCATTTTATATATATATACCCTCTTTGCATGCAAGAAAAATATATTATTATATTTAAATTGTATTTGCGAATTGAATGAAATTCTAAAGGTTTGTTCAAAGACAGCAAGGCACGACCACTGGGAGGTGCAAGGGAAAAACTGCTCCAGGGCCTCGGGGACTTGGGGTCCTCATAAAGTAATGAATTCATTGTAAGATTGGGATTCAATAAACGTCACAAAAAACTTAAAAATATGCTGGATAGCGTATCGAAGCAGAAGCTCTCACTAGCGGCTAAAGGCGTTATGATACACATTTGAATTATTTGCCTAATATCTTGAGGCCTATTTGTCAGGAAGACAACCGCCGTATCAAAAGACGATTTTGTTCGCGTATTTTACCGTCGCAACCATCCGTGTGTACTTTGTAAACTAGAGCCATCATTTAAACAACAGCAAAATTCCAATTATAAGAAGAAATTTTCAAAAGGGACATTAGTGTCAGGGGGGCTGCGGGGGTCAGAGCCTTAAAATAACTTCGTAAGATATGGTATAGCAAAAAGCTTTTTGTAAACCCCCCCCCCCCAAAAAAAAAAATAAGCTCCAACCCTGTTAAATAGTTTTACGACCTTGAGTAGGGGCCTTCTCATGTCTCAAATTAAGCAGTCGAACACAAATATGTTTCTACTTTCTGCCGTCCCTGTTATGTGATGTTTTGGTTTGTTAAAGTGATAATTTGTTTGCTTACATTATCATGTGACAACATTACTCCCTTTGGATTTCCAGTAGTTCCAGACTGCAAGGAATATAGAGGTAACAATTAGTTAATATTTGAAAGGAGGCAGCCAAACATGAAAAGGGCTTTATACGACCACAAACATACAAAAATAAAGAGGTAAAAATTAGTTAATATTTGAAAGGAGGCAGCCAAACATAAAAAGGGCTTTATACGACCACAAACATACAAAAATATAGAGGTAAAATTAGTTAATATTTGAAAGAAGGCAGCCGAACATAAAAAGGGCTTTATACGTCCACAAACATACAAAAATACAAAAAAGCAACAAAATTTCGGCTGAAATTGATATCATATTGAATAACTGTGAGATCGGTCATTTTGAGGCAAATATCATTAAGGGGCAGTAAAAACGAATCGAGACAATGGATGCGTTGAATTTGGTTTGAATAATGTTACGATATGGTTCATTCCAACACACATGATACAACTTCCAACACACAATCAAATTGCATATATAGCAAAATGTAAACAACATGATTTATCAATAACAACAATTAGGCTTTAATAGCCATTAATCTTGGGCCTAAAACAAAACAAAAATCGCGGCCATAGGTGTGAAACCGCTGACCATACAAAAAGGGGCCTATGGGTCACAGGGAACCCAAAGCTCTTGATCCTGACTTTTCAATCCATTAACAGATACAACCGTAAGAACCTTATATAGATATAATTCATTTCTTTTCCTACCGTGTAAATAAGAGTGCAGCATTTGTTCGGCTGTGCCATTGCCATCCTTTGCTTCAGCGCTTCATCGTCACACTGCCTTCCCATGTCCATTATTTCATTCCACTGTTAAAAGATACCGTCAAATAAAAACTAGTTTGAAGTTAAGAACAGACAGCCGGCTGTGAACCGGTTTCGTCCAATGTCAGGGCTCATCGTTACAGTTAGTCAATGATGGCCTAAGCTGGCCTAGACCCAGTAGTTAGGCTGTCAGTCGCAATGCATGTGTGAGGTAGTGTACCAAGGAACACGCACCCACGAGTCTTAGACAACTAATAAAAACTGAGTAATATGACATTTTACAACAAGTTGTCATGTGTCACTTGGCTGACAAAACATACGCGGGGCGCAAAAAAGTATTCTTCCAAAAGGTTTGGTAATTTCAAGGGTTCATATCTTTTGAATGCATTGCTGCTTTCGTTTCTCAGCGGCTTTACTAAACGACGTCTTACTTTCGTTTTTCAGCGAATTTAAAAACGAGGTCGTACAAGTTACTGTGATGTTCATGTATGATGGTAGCCTGCGTCACAAACCAAAAATCACGGAAGTTTTTGGTCTGTGACGCAGGCTAGTATGATGGCTGCAAATTGAGGTACGGTCCTAGGCCTACTTTTAAGCTTTGACGGCGATTGCAAATACAGTGCAGACTTACAGTATAAACGTTGTCCATTTTCTCCTTCAGTTCTCCTTTATACTGGATAATTGCTTTTAAACTTGGAAGTTTATCCCATATCTGTCAACGAAATAAAAAAAGCTTGAAAAAAGCCGATTAAGAAAGACAAGAAAAAACTTTCTAGAAACGTTCTCCGTCAGATTAAACACGGTAAAGGCCGATTTCCATTTGACAATTTTTTGTGCCCGCGGGCGTAGCGCCCAATTCTGAGCATGCGTAGTTAAAATCAAATTTGTCTCGATTTGAGCATGGTCTCGATTTCGCGTCCGCTGTGAGCGGCAGAAAGTTGATAGAGTCTCAACTTTTTTGTGCGCTCGGCCACTTGACAGCAGCACTTAGCTATGAATGCTCGCGCGCAAGAAAAATGTCAAATGGAAATCGGCCTTTTATAAAAGGTTTATTTGAATGGCAGTTAACAAGGAGCAAAATTTGCAAATAATATTTTTATTGAACAATTCACGTCCAACGAAAAGGACGGTCATGCATGATGATTTCCAGAAATAGATTCAAATTGCGCTTAGGTCTTTTTAAAGATTAAAAACAGTGAAACCTAAAACCCATGATAATAAAAAGGTCAAGAATCTGTTTGAGCGTAGTACGGTTATAAGCAAATATTGGAAAAATGATGCTGCTCATATTATTCAAGCCAGGACGTGTTTTATAAAAATTCATAACAACAGCTATTGGGAAACTCCTGTGATTGAGTGATTCTGAAAGACTCAGTACAAGCTTACAACCGATTAGCTTCACGACTGAGCAGACCATGGATGGCTTATCCTTCGATTTAAAATTTGATCCCTTTCCAGTAAAAGTAATTTCGACGTCATAAAAAGAATACACTCTTATGAATTTTCAACCTTTTCAATTGCAGTTGAGGACTACTTTTCGAAAGTGAAAATTTGTTCTCGTAGCACACCCAGAGAGCAGCAACGAGATAAGCGAAACGTTCAAGAAACGTCCAGGAAACGACGGGGCTAGAAGCTCCTTCTTACTAGATAATAATTTATATATTGAACTGGAGGCTAGGACGAGGGCCGATTCACTCTTGCAAATAGCATACGAGATTTTGCCTAAAACAAAAGAATTTCTGGGGATTTTTAGATAAAACAATAGGATTTTCACAAAAGGTGTACGAAATTTTCTTAGAGTGATTTGTTTCTCGGGCTAGGACTCGCCGAATTTTTTGACACTGATTCATGTAAATTTTCGGGCTGACAAATTTTTTGCCTAAAGCCTAGTTGAGCAAACAAAAACCGGAAAACCAAACATGTTTACGCACAAATTTGGCATGAGCGATAAATACAATAAATGTGATCGTGGGACAGCATGGCCGATTGCAAATTGAGAAGTGCAGCGAAAGAAACAGAAATTCACAAACAACATTTCAAACAATCATTGAAATCAGCTTTCAAGCCCAGGGATGGATTTACTAGAGGTTGTGGGGCTGCGACACCCCCCCCCCACCTCAATATTGTTGTGTTATTCAGTGAATTTTGCTTTGATTCAGTTAAAAAGTATTTACGTATGTATTAAGATGTAATTAGCTGAAAACAAAGTTTATAATGCATTCAAATATTGACTTTTTGCATTTGCACTTATTCCTAAATTGTTGGCGTTTTTGGAGGAGATAAGATTTTCCTTCCTATTGTATGCACTTAATTATATTTACTTATTTTAGAATTTTGCGCAATAGTCGCCTAACGGGGTCGAGGAGTTCTGTTTATTCGGAGTGCTCGGAGTGCACAGATTTCGGAATATTTAAACAATGGGCCTTTGCGAGCGTGGCGACGATCCAAACAATGGCAGCAAACTTCTATGGATTAACCAAAATTGATTTCAGACTGTCTAAAAATGTATTATGGGATGCTTGCGTAGCGCAATGGCTCACTGTTAGCAGTGAGTCTTTAAGAGTGCGAATTTGATCGAATGAAATTTAAAAGTGCCAATTTAATTGTAACCAGTTTTGAACGGGTTTATCAAAATTGGACTTGTATATAGATTTAAAATAACCAATGTTTGTTGTTCCAAATTCTGTACACCTATTTTTGTCGAACTCAGCGCCTAAAGGACAAATTGCTGCCTTCTAGAACAGATTCTCCATTTTTTGATAGTCAGTAGTAAGAAATAATGTAGGAGTGTTGCTTTCTCTATCTTCTTATCTCCTTTATCTGTAAGTTAAAGACTCGGTTTTCAGAATAGGCGTTTCCGTCAGTTTCCAGTCATCTAAAGGGTGTGGCACAACGTCCAATCATTATCCAACACCCTCCTCACCTAAAGGGTGTGGCACAACGTCCAATCATTATCCAACACCCCTCCAATCCTTGTCACTTAACTCCGTCCCTGTTCAAGCCAATTGAAAAAGCAAACATTTTGAAACATACTAAACATATGCCAATCGGCCTATCGATCCACAACTGGGTATATGTTTTTCCTTAGCGTAGAGTTTTTGATCTATGTTCTGACGTTTTATTCTGTGAAAGTGTCAAACGAAAAGCTTTAGTATGTTTAAAAATGTTTGCTTTGAAAGAAATTCTCCTCTAGACAAAACCACACCCCCCCCAACACCCCCCATTCCCTCCCCTAGTCATCATAGTGACCAAATTTTCGCTGACTATGTTTTACATGTGGATTGTGATTCAATGTATTTGTTGTACTCTACCTACAGGTTTATTTCATGAAAACTTGAGCAAATTCGATTCTTTCATTTAGCAAAAAAGTGGGGGCTTTAGCCCTTTACCCATGGCAACTTTTATCCTATGTGGGGCAGGCAAATCTAAATACGATGTACGTGCTGAGGCAGTGCCTACGCCACAAATTTCAAGTTGAAGGGGCCAAGTTCTATAAGTCAAACTTGATTTTACTGTTTCAAAGCAGGGCCTCTTTGGAATTATTCTTTACTTGCCAAAAATGTGGGGGGCCATGGCCCCTCCGCCCTCTCCCCCGGTGGCGTGGGCTCTGTGAGGTTACTTTTTAAAGCCAAATACCCCGTTTACACTGGGTTTTCGCGAGTCCAGATTGCTTGCGATCCTTTTGCTAAAAGGATAAAAAATGGTGCGGTTAACCGCATCAGTTTTGCCACGGCTAGCTAGGAGCGTAAACGGAAGGCCAATCCGTATCACTTTTGATTAACGCTTCCTTAATTACAGCTGTTATAGAAAGCGATAGGAGGTTAGTATAATAGGCATAAGCTTTCATGCAATTATGCCACCACAAATGAGATACGGTTGGTATGGAATCTTAATTTAAAGAAGGTAAGCACGCAGTTTCTCTAATTCGATTGAAATTCATTATGTTAAACGCATTTATCGCATTTCAATCGCATCATTTACATCAATTGAAATGAAACACGCAATGGGATTTGGTGTATTTTGGAATTCAAGGAATTTCAATTGAAAATTCCCAAGAGAATGCAAAGGAAACCACCCCAGGGAATGCGAAAAAGAATCTGAAAATCGATCACAGGGACACAAGGGAACAGGACAAGCCGCTCCCACAAATAAACAGGGCCTAAATGAGAAATAAACCATTAGTTTAATCATCTGTTCTTTAAAGCCATAGGCTAGTTAACAAATCACTTTTAAACTTTATACTAAACACTTGCAAATCAAAATTTAAATTTTTCTTCCTAAAATTCTGATTCAATACACTCTTTTTTATAAGAACACACTTTATAAGAACACTGAGGCTCGATTTGCCAAAAAAATAAGAACAAGACTAGAACATGCTCAGCTTCAGCTGAGAAATTTAAGAAAAAACAATTCGCATTTTGAAATTTATGTCATGCAAACAGAAAAAAAACTCTGCAATTTATAAACATAAAACAATTTACTTTTAAACTTTACCCAGTAAAACGCCTCAGAAATTATATAGAGTATGTAACTTCTCAAATATTTGCAAAAAAATTTCTCTTAAAATAAGAGCGATTTTAAGAACATTTGAGCGTACTCTCTTCTGACTGACATGCTATATCTTTGATGTGAGTTAAGTTTACATTTAAGCCCCCTTCAAAAACGGCCTGGGCATCTGAACGAAGATTTGCTTTCATTCACTGCCCCCAAATTCGAACTGAGGGTTGATTCTCCCCCACTGTCTCTTAGCCATGTGTTGGTCCAATGCAAGGGTTATCTGCACCAAATGCACAAATTTTGGGCAAAAAAAATCTACAAATTTGCCAATATAGATATTATACCCTTTCAGCGGATAAATTACAGTGAGAAGGATACTCCTTGCCCATAAGCAGACTCCATGAAAATGTAAGCAGACTTCTTACATTTTCACTTTCTGAAAGGTTGGCCATCACTCTCCAATTCAACCCTTATTAAAACAAGAAAGTAAAAACTTTGACTGAAACAAACCTTCAGAAACTTTTGGACTTGCACATCATTCTCTGCTACCAAGATGTTTACTTGTGCATCAGCGGCAATAAACAAACAGGCATCTGGTGTGCTGGTTGTATAAATTCCAGCTGCAAGGCCGCTAAATAAACAAATGCAGATATTTGCCAAAAACGACCAAAAAGCTTTGTAATATTCATTCAATAAGGTTCTTCATAAAAAAAACAGGATATCATGCAAGTCCACAGTCACGATATGCAGGGGCATCACTAGCTGGGGTGTAGGGGTGTGACACAACCCCCCCCCCCAATTCTTTATGAGTTAGCCAGTAGATCTTCAGTTGGTCAACAAAATCCTTTTTGTCTGTAAAATCCTCCATTGGTGGTAAATATTTCCCTTTATCTATGTCTTCTTCAGTAAATTTTACTATTGACGACCCTGCACCCCCTAGTCTGGAAGGCCAAACCAAGCCACTGAGAATGCGTGCTATCATGCTTGAACATTGTGCAGTGTGTACTATTCTTGCTTTACAACACAGTTCAGCAAACCCTAGCCTTACAATAAAATTTCAATTTGTAGGGGTTGGATTGTCCCTTTTTTGTTTTGGTATGTACTGGAAATACAAGCCCATCAAAATAACATCATGCAAATATATAGCTCATGAAATGGCTTTGAAACTTGAAAACCAAGATGATTTACCTAAATTCATAATCATGGATACAAGTAAAATAAAGTCTATTACACTTATATAAGATATTAATGAAAATTAATGTTAACCGGCCTGCCAAAACTGCTTGATGTCATATGGGTGGAGCTGTTACACATATTTGGTGTATAGAACAGGAAGGTTCTAAGAAACTTGGAATAGAAACTTAGAATTGTCTTGTTGTATATATACACTCTTTTTTTATAAGAACCAGTAAAGTTAAGTTCAGGCTG